CAGAGAGAGAGAGGGAGAGAGAAGACTAGAGAAGAGAGGAGAGATAGAGAGAGCACTTCAGAGACTTGTAGAAAGTTCCCTTGAATCTTCAGCTGAGTACTGAGTGAGGAAACTACCTGAGGCAGGGCTGAGAAGAGCTTATGTTCATACCAACAAAGGAAAACACCTTGTAATTCATAGGGAAGTATTTGGCCTCCATATTGTAGAGAGAAAACAGTCAGTAGAAACTGACCCAGAAATGGCACACGATCATTAGGAGACATGGACAGTGAAACAAGTATTATGGTTCTTTTTTAAAAAATTATTTGTGTGTTTTTTTGTGAGACAGGGTCTCACTCTTTTGACCAGGCTAGAGTGCAGTGGCATGATCTCAGCTTACTACAACCTTCACCTCTAGGTTCAAGTGATTCTCCTACCTCAGCCTCTGGACCAGCTGGGATTACAGGCATGTGCCACCATGCCCAGCTAATTTATGTATTTTTAGTAGAGACAGAGTTTCACCATGTTGGCCAGGCTGGTCTCGAACTCCTGGCCTCATGTGATCTGCCTGCCTCAGCTTCCCAAAGTGCTGGGATCATAGGCATGAGTCACCATGCCCTGCTGAGTATTAGAATTCTATAGATTCTATTCTATAGAAGGTGGAGGATTTCTTGAGCATGTTAGTAGAGACATGAAAGATAATTTAAAAAGTTAACTTGAATGGCTAGAGATGAAAATTACAATATCTGAAATAAAGTGACCATAATTATCTCTCTAAGAATTTGCATTTCTAGTATTCTCTCTGCCCTCCGAATATATGTCCTTGTGCATGCAAAACCACCATTGCATATACTCCCACACACATGCAGAACAAAGTTAGAAACAGTTTCTGAATAGAAATCCCCAGCAAGGGATCTGTTTTGCTGTGTCGTAAGAAGATAACAAAAAGCCTAACAATATACCTAGAAGGAAATGTATTCCAATTCTTGCAAAAGATGTGTGGGCATGTGGCCAGCTGTGCGATCATGAGATTAGTTAGAATTTCAGTTTTGCTTCTTGTTGGATGGGTGACTCTTGGCAAGTTTCTTCATCTTTATAATGGGGACTGTGATACTTCCTCAATAAATAGTAGCTATAGGGCAAATGTGATATAATTAAGAGGGGAAATTACTTCAGTTTCCCGACGAACAACAAAATAGCTAATTTTTTTTCTTACTTTGTGTCAGGGACTATGCTAAAACTATTTCACATATAATTGCATTTAATCTTTATAACAATTATGAGTCAGACAGTCATCTTCAACTCACAAATGAGAAAAATGTGGCTGAAAGAGGTTCATTAAATTGTGTAGGGTCACTCAGCTCTTTAAGTGGAAGCACATGGATTTTATCTAGGTACCTTAAAATCCTCTTACACAGAGCCCAGACCTTCCAAAGGGGTGTGTGTGTGTGTGTGTGTGTGTGTGTGTGTGTGTATGGGTCTGAGGGCCAGGGTGCTAAAACTTGAAAGTGAGAGGTGGTTCTGGGGGCTATAGAATTAGAAAAAGGAAAAGACCTAGCTTATATTGTGAATTGTACTAACTCCCCACCAGGCACTGTGGCTCAAGCCTGTAATCCCAGTACTTTGGGAGGCCGAGTCAGATGGATCATTTGAGGTCAGGAGTTCGAGACCAGCCTGGCCAACAAAGTGAAACCCCATCTCTACTAAAAATACAAAAATTAGTCGGGTGTCATGGCAGGCGCCTGTAATCCCAGCTACCCTGGTGGCTGAGGCAGGAGAATCGCTTGTACCCAAGAGGGGAAGTTTGCAGTGAGCCAAAATTGAGCCATTACACTCCAGCCTGGGTGACAGAGGGAGACTCTGTGTTGAAAGAAAGAAAGAGAGAGAGAGAGGGAGGGAGGGAGGGAGGGACTCCCTGGGCAAAGCGTGTGTGTGTGTGTGTGTGTGTGTGTGTGTGTGTGTGTGTGTTTGAGATAGTCTCGCTCTGTCGCCCAGGCTGGAGTGCAATGGCGCTCACTGCAACCTTCGTCTCCTGGGTTCAAGCAATGCTCCTGCCTCAGCCTCCCAGGTAGCTGCAACTACAGGTGCCCTCCACCATGCCCGGCTAATTTTTGTGTTTTTAGTAGAGGCAGGGTTTCATCATGTTGGCCAGGCTGGTCTCAAACTACTGACCTCAAATGATCCACCCACCTTGGCCTCCCAGAGTGCTGGGATTACAGGCGTGAGCCACTGCACCCAGCAGACCAAAGCTTGTTTTAAATTAGAGAAAACAGAAAAACTGTGGTTTGGAATGAAATTAACTTGGTAGGGCAGTGTGGTATTGCTTATAAGAAGTTTTTCATATCCTACTATATGCAATACCTTGTCTTTAAGCTTTTAATCCTTTTCTTTCTCCTAGTTAGAAGACGCACTTCTGACCTTGCCCCATGTAAATGAGGCAGAGGGAGAAGGTGGTCTTCTTGTTCTGGGGTTGGTTGCTGAGGAAGTATTAGATAGCCCATGGGCTGAAGCAGGACTTTCTCACTGGAGCAGCTTCTCAGGCTGTTGGAAAATCTAATCCAGAAGCAGCTGTTACTGTGGAGCAGAATTCTCAGTTCTGATTTCTTCTAGTTCTGTGTTAGAGCAGCAGCACTGAAAAGAACTGAACTGGTTTGGGCTGGCTGTCTCTGTACGCAGAGAGGCTGACCTGCACTTTTTGGGAAGGCAGATTAAGTAGCTGCTGCAATCCTGCTGTTATCTGTTAAGATCTTTAAATAAGAATAAGAATGATTAAAGAAGAATGGGCCATAGCCCTGGAGGAAGATACCCAGAGAGGCTGAAAGGGAAAGGCATCTCATAAAAGCAAGAGCTGTAATTATCTTCTGATGGCTCTTTAGCACGTGATCTCTTCGGAGAGGCAGATTTACAACCTGTAAATAATTTGCAAGGTCATTGGACTATCTTCAATGATGTATCAGCTAATTTATTCATGCTGCAAATATTTACTAATGCCAACTATGTGTCAGACACAGCTCTAGACACTGGGGGTACTCCATACCTTTGATGGAGCTAACAGTTGAGTAGAGGAAACAGATAATCAATAAATACACATATGACATAACAAATGGTGATAAGTGATACAAAGAAAATAAAGCAGGGTAAAGGAGAGAAAACAGCAGGGTGAGGGCTGAGTGGGTGCTGGTTTAGATAGGGTAGTTTGTTCAGGAGAATCTTTTATAATGAAGTTTACAAACTTCATTCAGATTCCACCAAATTGGATTTTATGAGAGTTCAGCGGCAGCTGACACTCATCTCTGGTCTAACTCTGAAAAGAAAAATTGTTTCCCAAAAGAATTTGTGGTATATGTAGTATCGAGGGTGGGGAAAGGCTCTTTGATGTAGGCAAGATAAAGAACTGGTTTCAATAACTTTTTTTTTTTTTTGAGACAGAGTTTCGCTCTTGTTGCCTAGGCTGGAGTGCAATGGCGTGATCTTGGCTCACTGCAACCTCCACCTCCCGGGTTCAAGCGATTCCTCTGCCTCAGCCTCCCAAGTAGCTGGGACTACAGACACGTGCTACCACATCTGGCTAATTTTTTGTATTTTAGTAGAGACGATTTTCACCATGTTGGCCAGGATGGCCTCGATTTCCTGACTTCGTGATCCACCCGCCTTGGCCTCCCAAAGTGCTGGGATTACAGGCATGAGCCACCGCGCCCAGCCTTTCAAGAACTTTGTACAGTGATTACATAGAACTGGATGTGGGTAGTTACAAAGGGTTCTTATCTATTCAGTCATGCCCACATGCCCTGCCCAGTCCCCTGCTGATTCAGACCAGCTTTTACTGCCAAATACTAGCCAGAAGCCCTGTTTTCATATGCTTTTTATACATCCCTTTTTCTAGCATAGTGTCTAAAATAATAATGCAAGGTGACTGTTAAGCACTTGCCATATCCTTTTAATCCCTGCAACAATACCATTAAGTAGGAGCTGTCATTATCCCCATTTTACAGATGAGGAAACTGAAGCTCCAGGAAGTTAACCTGTACACAGCCTGAGTCTGAATTAGTCAGGTCTGCCTGCCTCCACATTCCTAGTCATTAGGCAAAGCTGTTCCTCCTTATCTTATAAGGTTCAAGTGCATGAATGAGTGAATAAATGGATGGATGGATGGATGGGTGAAAAAACTACTACTTTAGCCGGGCGCGGTGGCTCAAGCCTGTAATCCCAGCACTTTGGGAGGCCGAGGCGGGTGGATCACAAGGTCAAGAGATCGAGACCATCCTGGTCAACATGGTGAAACCCCGTCTCTACTAAAACTACAAAAAAATTAGCTGGGCATGGTGGCGCGTGCCTGTAGTCCCAGCTACTCAGGAGGCTGAGGCAGGAGAATTGCCTGAACCCAGGAGGCGGAGGTTGCGGTGAGCCGAGATTGCGCCATTGCACTCCAGCCTGGGTAACAAGAGCGAAACTCTGTCTCACAAAAAAAAAAAAAAAAAAAAAAAAAAAAAAAAAAAAAAAAAAAAAAAAAAAAAAAAAAGAAAAAACTACTACTTTGATTCTAATGGTTGAAGGAATTAGCTAGAGACAAAGCATCGTAACTGCACTGAACCATCAGAGCAGGCAGGCACAGAATTGGTCAGGTGATAATAACAAAATAGCAGGTGACCATCATTTATTCAAGAAATAATATTCAGCATCTCCTCCATGCCAGAGAAGTCAGCCTGCTCTTCGCAGCCACAGACTCTGGCCTCAATGCCTCACTGACCAGGAGGGCTTTGGTGAGGAGACCTGGGCTTCCACTCAGCCCTTTGCGGATGTTACAGTGATACCGCTGTGGCCAGAGTGGCAGAGATGGGAGGGGCTGGGGAAAAAGAGCGCAGTAGAAGCTGGCCACGAATCGTGCAGACCCGGCCACAGCCTTCAGGCGATATCATTGATTCCAAAACCAGGGCATGGAATGAGCAAAAAGTAGAGGCGAGACTTGGGTCGGCAGGTTTGGGAATTGCGGTTGAGGACCCGGGTTTCTACCTTTTCAAAAGCCACATCCCCTTTCAATGAACGGGAAGAGCCGCAAGGTTCTCTGGAAATCCTGGCCTGGCGTCAGGAGCGGAAGTTCCCGGGGAGAGCGCAGGTCACTAGGCCTGCAGGAGGTTTTCCTGAAGTTTTGCCTGCTTCAGTTTGTTCGATTAAATAATTGGATTTCGATGCCTGTTTCTCAAATGTAGCCTGGATTCCCATGCTGAATGTTTTTAAAACCACTCATGTCCCCCTCTCCCCAGATCCCGAGTTGCCTGCTGCCTTCCCTCCCTGCCAGCCCTCCACCTCCCCCACTTTCCTCCAACAGCCATTGGGAGTCACTCGTCTACACCATTGTCTCTGGGACTTCCTGGGTATAAGAATTAGTTAAAGGAAAAAGTCGGACTCAGGGTCCTAGGAATCTGCAAACACCCTTGTGAGAGATGTCTGGGGAAGCATATTCTGAGAAATGTTTTGGGAGACGATGCGGAGGCCGAGTGAGGGTGGGCGGGCAAGGGCAAGCGCCGGGTGAACTGAGAGGAGACGCAGCCCTTTCGGGGATTTTACCTTAGCAAGGGCTTCCTGTGATATGAGCTGCTGCCACGGCTGTGTTCAGAAAGAATTACTTACTCAGTGATGCCTGGTACAGCATGGGCAGGAAGGCTTCATTCAGGACTGAATTAGATCAAGGGACCCCCCCGAGTTAGGTCAACGGAGACTCTTGGGAGGGAAGAGAGATGGGTACAACTCAGATACAGCACGGGCAAGTAGGAATTGAGAGCCAAGGTCAGTGGATGGAAAATTCCTCAGAGGCAATGACAGGGTCAGGGAGATTCTGGCTAACCCCACCTAACAGGATTCTTGCTGAGGACATCCCCTGGGGGATGGCAGAGAATGAGAAACCCGATCAGATATGGAGGGTGATCAGATCTCAAGGATGGGGGTTGTTTGCTAAACTGAGTAGGATTCTTTGCTACCACTGGATTTCATGAGGAAGCATGCACAGGCCTAGGAAAAGGCACCACTCAAGTTTGGCCAAGCAGAAACTCTTTGTCAGCTGACACGGCCTCTCCTACCAGTCTGGTTCACAAGAGGCATGCTTGGTTCTTCTGCCTTTTGGCTTGGGACCAGGGCAGGAGCTTGATGGATCCTGGCCTAGGAGAGGGAGAAGTGTGGGGAAGGGGAGCCCGGGCCTAGCCTTAGAACCCCAGGGCCATAGGCCTGCCAAAGTGGCAAGGTACGACCAGCTGAGAGCCCACTGCTTCAAGGGTGGGGAGGTCACAGGCTTTTTAGGTTTCCTGCAGGGGACCTGGGAACAGTTTGGAATCATTTTTGTCCCCATTCCAGTTGGGGATTGCTGTCCCAGTTCAGAGGTCAGGAAGTTGAGATGGTGCCGCGATCTCTAGAGGCAGAAACAGTAGAACATGTGATTTATTTCTCAGCCTCCAACACATTTTTTCCTTCCTTCATGAAGGAATTTCCAAGTTACTTCTCCTCCAGAAATCATGTGGGCTGTGTCCCTGCCACAGAGAGGAACAACTTGGTATACGTCAGTTCCCCTGATTAGGAGTCAGTCGGCAAAGCCCTTACTCACTCCAGAAGCATGCGGCCCTTCACATCTGCGCCCATGCTAAAGGGGAGAACATTTTCCATTTTGCTTTTGTAAACAGACTATACTCTGTCTATTTTAAGAAGAAAAAAAACCGGTTTAAGCAGCTCTTAACCAACACTTGCAAGACTAAGCTGACTGGTTTACAATTCAACTCCTTTATTCCCCCAATCATAACATCTCATTTTAGGTAGTTACTCCCATTGCTTATATTTGATGTCACATAGAGACTCGGTTCCAAACTCTATGACATTCGTGGGCTGAAAGACAAAGGAGCATGACTGGTTTTTCTTCACTTTGAAGACATCTGCAGCTTATTAATTCCACAAGGAAAGCCGGAGGCCAGAGGACACTGAGATTCTTTGACTATAAAATTTCTTTTTGAGACGGTAGTTCTTCTGTTTCAGTGTTGGGTGGAGTTCATAGGGAGACTTACTTTTCCATGAAAATATAGAGCAAAGCTTCCCCATCAGTGTCACACTATAATATTCTAGGATTTTTATAGCATTAGTAACATAAAGGAAAAAAGGCTCTTGGTTCAGTGTCACCTCCTTTAAAGGAAATTGGCTTATGGTCAGACCACACTGTTCTTATCCCCTGTGTAAGAGGCCAAGTCATCATTTCCCAGTTTTTGCCAGTTTTTCCAGTATTTAGTATCCAGGCAACGTCATAGAAAATAGGCCAGGCCAGGAGTGCTCTGGGAGTCAATGCAGAGCTCAGACTTACTCATGGGCATATTTTCTTCAATTCACAATGAAAACTTCTAGAAGTTCTATTTGAATTTTTCCTGAACTCAACCTAGTTGTAAAAATATCTTTGGGATTTGGCCCAGTGCAGTGGCTTACACCTGTAATTCCAGCACTTTGGGAGGCTAAGGCGGGTGGATCACAAGGTCAGGAGTTCAAGACCAGCCTGGCCAAGATGGTGAAATCCCATATCTACTAAAGAGACAAAAAAATTAGCCAGGCACAGTGGCAGGTGCCTGTAAATCCAGCTCCTCGAGAGGCTGAGGCTGGAGAATCGCAGGAATCCAAGAGGCGGAGGTTGCAGTGAGCCGAGTCACACCACTGCACCCCAGCCTGGGTGACAGGATGAGACTCTGTCTCAAAAACAAAAAAAACAAAAATATCTTTGGGATTAAAGTCTTCCCAGGCCTTCATCTAAACACACTATTCTTACTTCAGAAAAAAAAAAAAAAAAAAAAAAGAAATTCTAGTTTTCTTTTATGTGTCCCCCCTATAAAAGCATCAGACTTTTAGGAGAAAGTCAATTTTTCTTTCCAATTAGGATATGGAACTAAAGGTTTCTAAAAGAAGGAATTGAGGTTAGGCTTTATAATTGGTTTCTGGTATTTTATTCCATTCCTTGTCAGTGATCTGTTACTACCCTCTCAGGAAGAAGGGAAACTAGCAGATATTGGTTGGGTCAGAATGGAGGTGGTAGAATCATTCAAGGCCATCAAAGGCCAGCAGACAGGCTTTGTGTTTTAGGCAAACCTGTTCTTTCTGGTTGACCATAAGCCCCGCAATTCCCTGTTGTATTACCAGCTCGAATTGCATCCCACATTTCTGTTATTGGCCTAAACTTCTCTCCTGACACTGTGAATTCTAGTTTGATTCATGACATTTTAAGACAATCTCCTTAAAGGTAGAAACCCTGCCTAGCATTCTGGATGGTCTAACATGGACATGTTCTAGGAGATTTTTTCTTCCCCCTAAATTAGAGAGCAGGACTTTATAAAAAAAGAGAAATTTTTTTTTGAGACAGGGTCCTGCTCTGTCGGCCAGGCTGGAGTGCAGTGGTAAATTCACGACCCACTCAGCCTCCCAACTGGCTGGGGCTACTGATGTGAGCCCCCATACCCAGCTAACTTTTAATTTTTTGTGTATGCCCAGGCTGGTCTGGAACTCCTTGGGCTCAAGTGATCCTCCTACCTCAGCTTCCCAAAGTGCTGAAATGACAGGTGTGAGCTACTGTACCTGGCCAGAACAGAAATATTTAACATTAGATAGTTTTCTGTAGACATATGTAGAAAGCATCATATATACAAGCTTAGTAGCAGATGGTTAGAGCTGGAAAGCATTTGAGAAATTTTTTCCTTCAATCCACTTGTTTGCAAATAATGAAGAGTTGGATGACTTAGCCAAGTACTTCAAGAAAGCTGGGACATAGAGTTAGGAATAGAACAAGGGTTGTTTTCAACTTGGGGCCGTTTTGCCCTCCAGGGAATAATTGGCAATGTGCCTCAAAGTTTTTGATGATCACAAATGGCATCTAGCTGAACAGTAGAGCCTCCCATAAAAAAAAAAATTAACGGGTTTAAAATGTCAGTAGTGCTGAGGTTGAGAAATGCTGGTCCCACCCCAGGCTGGCGCCCTTTCTACTTCAGCATTGTCCCAGCATGCTGCACTGTTTGTTCTAAGATTTATTCATTGATGACAGAGACTCAGGTCATTTTGACTTTAGCAGAAGCAAATCAGTACATGTTCAAGTGTGCCGTGTTGCTTTCTTAGCCCTAGGGTTAGTCTGTGAATTATGGAATTGCAAGGAATGAAGTGCAGTTTGTTTCTACATCTTTCATCTCATTTAGACATCCAATTGGTAAAAGTTGTTTCTCAGAGGTGTTCCGGGGACCCCAATGGCAACGTGGGTGCATCATTTTTGAAGTGACAGATGTTAGCAGTTGTATTATTCCCCCCAATTCAGTCTTCAGAAATAGGACTAGATTGGCCGGGCGAGGGGGTTCACGCCTATAATCCCAGCACTTTGGGAGGCCAAGGAGGGTGGATCATGAGGTCAGGAGTTCAAGACCAGCCTGGTCAAGATAGTGAAACCCCATCTCTACTAAAAATATAAAAACTGGCCAGGCGTGGTGGCCAGCCTATAATCCCAGCTACTTGGGAGGCTGAGGCAGAGAATGGCTCAAACTCAGGAGGCAGAGTTTGCAGTGAGCGGAGATCGTGCCACTGCACTCCAGCCTGGGAGACAGAGCAAGACTCTGTCTCAAAAAAACAAAAAACAGCCGGGCGCGGTGGCTCAAGCCTGTAATCCCAGCACTTTGGGAGGCCGAGGCGGGTGGATCACGAGGTCAAGAGATCAAGACCATCCTGGTCAACATGGTGAAACCCCGTCTCTACTAAAAATACAAAAAATTAGCTGGGCATGGTGGTGCGTGCCCGTAATCCCAGCTACTCAGGAGGCTGAGGCAGGAGAATTGCCTGAACCCAGGAGGCGGAGGTTGCGGTGAGCCGAGATCGCGCCATTGCACTCCAGCCTGGGTAACATGAGTGAAACTCCGTGTCAAAAAAACAAACAAACAAACAAACAAAAAAAAACAAAAAAGAAATAGGACTAGATTTTAAAGCCAGGCTCTGTAACCAAACCACATAGATTCAGTGACTTGGCAATATTAATAAGTGCCTTCACTTTCTATGAATGGATATATTGCACAAGACCAGGAAATTGCTATAGTACTGTTTCAACCAATTTACCCAATGATAGGAGCCCTTTGTACATGGTGTCTCGGAAGAGTGCACTTTTTGTACACAATACCATACAAGATGCTCAACAACTGTGATGAACTCTCATCCCTTCTAATATCACAAGCAGAATTTGTAGTTGGGGACAGGCGCAGTGGCTCATGCCTGTAATCATAGCAGTTTGGGAGGCCGAGGTACGCGGATCACTTGAGGTAAGGAGTTTGAGACCAGCCTGGCCAACATGGTGAAACCCTGTCTCTACTAAAAATACAAAAAATTAGCCAGG